GCTATAAATCACGCGGCTCTCTCGCTTGTTCGCGCCGAGAACACCCTTTTTCCGGCGGGCACGCCGAGTGCCACCGAACTGTACTCTAACGAGCGCCGCCTGTGATTTTCGAGGGAAATCATTAATTCGAGTGCGCCCGTGCCGTTTTCTTCGACGGGAATCAAGGACGATCGACGAACGCGATAACTTGATAACGGTTGAGATTCTTCGGAGGATTCCGGGATAGTTCGAGAATCGCTCGCGCGAGTCGGGAACGAGGATCCTTCGATGTTCACGGTGGAACTGCGAAATGGGTCAGAATCCTTGATTCTTTATTGTGGGAGGATTGAAGTGTAGACGGTTCGCCCGTTTGCGTGTCGATACTTGGGGGCCTGAGATATGGACCAGGCCCATTGGCTAATTTGTGACCAAGGGGACCACCAGGACCTGGGTCACGTACGTCTGAAGAGGCTTCCTTCTTAGAAAAGCGTTGAGGGAAAGTCAGTCGCCGTTCCTCGTTAGAGCCACATCGTAATAAATATATTTAACCTGACTACGGAGTTAGTTTTTATTTTAGTAGCCCTACAGAAGGTATATCTCTTTGAGACATTGCTGAAGCTGATTAATAGCTGCTGAAATTTAACACTAGGTTTACGGGCATTTATTGTATATTTCATTCTATTATTCATAATGGAATTCGTGATCGTTTATTGAGATTGTGGAAACTGGAGATTTGATAGTAATTGGGGTACATGTCAGTGTGATCAATAAAAATCGGCGTAAACATTTACAAAATAATATTTCTAAAATAACATGCGTCAATTTGACGCGTTCCGTAAACCTAGTGTTAAAGTAATTCGAATCTAATGAATCCCGTTTGTAGTTTTATAATGAAGTTTCCAAACGTCGGTTCAAGTGCTCGGTAGTAGTGTTCACTGAAGTTTGTTAAAGGAAGCCTTTTGAAGACCGAATGTTCATATTTGGAGTCGCAGAGTTGGTTACTCAAACAGTTTCCATTGTTTAATCAGTTTATGTTGCTTGATCTGCCGAAGGTTTCATAGATTCCAAATGATCCGCGAATAATTAACGATAATAGTTATACAGTCTTATCATTGATAAGACCTTATCGTCGACTTAATATCAATGTCAGTTGTCGCCAGTCGACTCTCAGTTCGGAATAGTGTTCGTCGAGGGGTTAAGTTCGTTGAGCGTATTAAATCACGGTAATTCGCGAATCTCTTCGGATTCGTTGGAATCGTCGATCGGTTCAGCCCGTTAACGGTCGCGGTTTATTGCCGGCGCGATCCGGTACAGTTCGGTTCGGTTTGGTTTAGTTTGATTCGATTTGACACGGTTCAATTCCGTTCAATTCAGCTCGAGCACAATTCATTTCCGAAGATCGAGCGCCGAGGAAGTGAGCCGCTCCCCTTCCCCGATCTCTTTTCCTCTCGACCCGCCGCCTCAAAGGGTCCCGTGGAACGTGGGAGGGTTGTGTGTCTGGCTAATTACGCGTTAGAGAGGGAGCCAAGCCCCGAGATGACATAAACGCGATGCCTCGAGAACCTCCGAGAGAAACTTACCGGAGAGAAAGAATAGAGAAGAACGCTTAGGTGACCAGGTCAGGGACTTCCCTTCCACGCCGACCGCACTCAATCGCGATCCCCCCTCCGTCCTCGCGGCTGACATCAAATCTCCTCTCTCTCTCTCGCGCGTGTTCGAAGTCCTCTTTCGCTTCATCGTACTCCTATCGCTTCTAACATTTTTCCTTAACTCCCTTTGCAACGTTCCTCTCGATCTTCGCCTTCGTCCTTCGTGGCTACAGCGAATATTTCATCTCGCTCTTGCTCATAACTCCTGTACTCACTTTTTCTATCGTCCTCCATTTTCTTTCTAACACTATTAGAAACCTCTGCTTCTTGATACGTTTCTCTTCGCTTTGCAACATCTGATCTCTTCTTTTTCACTCTTTGCATTGCTTCTAAATTTCTGTTTTATTCTACAGTATTCCTATCTATCTAACTCTCCTAGTTGTCTCTCGAATATCTTCCTCAACCTACAACCTTCGCATCAATATCAAATCTCTCTTACAATCTATCACTCTCCCCAATTTCCCTTTTACTCCATTCCCCATCTTCCTTCTATCTCTACCTAACATTTCCTCTAACTCTTCC